TGGGTATGCACAAAATAGTAGTGCTTATCGGTTTTTAGTGTACGATTCGAATAATCCGGATGTACATAAAAACACAATAATTGAATCAAGGAATGCCTCATTCTTTGAAGATGTATTTCCATGCAAGTCCAACGAAGGGCCTAGCACGTCAAAACGAACATTTGACGTAGCTATGGAAAATACTAGCGAGGGATCCGGAGAAGAACCCGAACCTAGACGTAGCAAACGTGCTAGAATTGAAAAATCCTTCGGACCGGATTTTCTCACCTACCTGGTAGAATTTGACTCGGATATTCTAACATGTATGGTAGAAAATGAACCGGATTTTCTAACATGTTTGGTAGAAAATGAGCCACGGACTTATACGGAAGCCGTGACGTCTACTGAAGGTCCTATGTGGAAAGAAGCCATCAAAAGTGAGGTGGATTCTATCCTAAAAATCACACATGGGAATTGGTTGATCTCCCTCCGGGATGTAAACCTTTGGGATCCAAGTGGATTTTTAAACATAAAATGAAACCAGACGGTTCCATTGATAAGTATAAGACCAGACTTGTAATCAAGGGATACAAGCAACGCGAGGGCCATGATTACTTTGACACGTATTCTCCCGTGACGAGAATAAATTCCATAGGATGATACTGGCGATTGCCGCTTTGCGGAATTTGGAAGTTCATCAAATGGACGTAAAAACCGCTTTTCTAAATGGGCGATATAGACGAAGAAATCTATATGGAACAACCTGAGGGTTTTCGTGTTCCAAGCCAAGAAAAGAAGGTTTGTAAATTAATTAAATCATTGTATGGATTGAAACAAGCCCCTAAACAGTGGCACGAAAAGTTCGATCATGCAATGTTAATTAATGGGTTTAAAATAAACGAAAGTGACAAATGCGTCTATGTGAAGAGCACGGTAGACGGCTATGTCATTTTATGTTTATACGTGGATGATATACTCATCGTGGGTATCAATAATCTAATGATTAATTCTACCAAAAGCATGTTAAATTCTAAATTTGACATGAAGTATATGGGGCTGTCCGATTTAATCCTTGGGATTAAAATAATTAGAGGACCTGACGGTCTTACGCTAAGCCAATCCCATTACGTTGATAAAATCCTTACGAAATTTAATAAGGATGATTATCAAGAGGCAATGACTCCATTAGATAAAAACGTACAACTTACCAAAAATCATGGAGTGTATTTCTCAAGTAGAATACGCTAGGATTATTGGAAGCTTGATGTATCTAATGAGTTGTACCAGGCCTCATATTGCCTTTGTGGTCAGCAAGTTGAGTAGATATACTAGCAACCCCGATGCTGAACACTGGAAGGCAATAGTAAGGGTTTTGAGGTATTTACGTAAAACCCAAAACCTTGGACTGCACTATGTAAGATATCCAGCTGTACTTGAAGGGTATAGCGACGCTAGTTGGATATCCGACATAAAGGACTCTAAGTTCACAAGTGGATATGTTTTCACTTTGGGAGGTGCAGCCGTATCATGGAAATCCTCTAAACAAACGTTAATAGCTAGATCCACGATGGAGTCTGAGCTAATAGCCTTGGATAAGTGCACTGAAGAGGCTGAATGGCTACGCCATTTTCTCGAGGATATTCCAAGTTGGGAGAAGCCTGTCCCTCCAATATGCATACATTGCGATTGTCAAGCGGCAATTGGAAGGGCACAGAGCAATCTCTACAATGGTAAGTCTAGACACGTTCGTCGTTGACATAACACCATTAAACAACTCCTCACAACGGGTGTTATCACTGTTGACTACGTGAAGTCAAAGGATAACATAGCGGATCCGCTAACCAAGACATTGGATAGAGAATTGTTGGAGAAGTTGTCACGAGGAATGGGACTAAAGCCCGTGAATTGAAAAGTTCTATAGTGGATACCCAACCTAGTTGGTCCTAGGTTCAAAAGGGACAACTATATTATAGAGCGAAGGATGGTCACTGTGGGGGTCCCGAACTCCTACCCACTCCTCGTTAAAACAGTGACTCCCGCACGAGGTTAGCAAAAACGTTTGCTTTAATGATTCTAAAATGTTGATCTACTCGATAACATTGGAAGAGTATGTGGGATACTCGTGAAAGAATCACCTATGTGAGAGAGAAGAGGGCCGCTTCAAAGGAGAACTGTAAAGGCTCAGTTCTTTAGAAACTCTTGCAGAACCAGGACGGTGACCCATGGCCAAAACGGGCACACCCATGAGAACGGAACAAAGTTGGAAGGTTCTTGTGTAAAGATAAGTCAATGTTTACACGACGACAGTATAGTTCAAGGACATCGAGTCTACTAGACAACCAGTAAATAAACGTGTCTCTACAACGGAAGGTTCAAAGGATAAAACCTACCTCTCCGTATGCAAGGATCATCCGGTGAACACAACGTGTCCTCCTATCTTCGTGTCTTTTTAAGTCTCGAAAATCAATTTTCATTCATGTGGGGGATTGTTGGAAAAATGTGTTAAAAATTGCATTAAATGGTCATTTTGGGGCAATTATTTGAGTGGGGTCCACTTCCGATTTGGGTCGGGTCAAAGTGGTTTCGGATTGTCCTTGTTAAGGGCTACAATTCGATATGTGGTACACTCAAAACGGATAACGGGTGAATGAGAAATTGATTCTCGAAGTTCACTCGTTGAAATGGAAAAATTGGGAAAATGATGAGTTTCTAGTGTGTTTTATCCCACACCGAAAAACTCAAGGGATTTTCACCCCCTTATAAAGGGAAGCCTCTTTTAAGGAGTTAAGATTCCTAAAGGGAAAGGCTCTCTCTTACGCGCAGGGGGGGTGCCGATCAAATCCCGAAACGGAGAAGAAAACCCGCGGCTCGTGTGCGCGGGCGACCTGCGGACACGAATGCCGTCCAAAAATCTATCTCTCAGAACCCCTCCAAGGGGTGTTCTGTTGGCTTCGGACAGAACCCCTCCAAGGGGTGTTCTGTTGGGGTCTTCTGTCGCGCATTTCTTCCGTTACAACAATTAATGCCCAACGTTTATGGATGATTCAATGTCCAACAGACTGGTCATTGATGTCCAACGTTCAGGTCCATTAACACCTCTTTTAACACACAACGAATCCTCCTATAAATAGCTGGCAGGTGCTTTGCAACAAACACACGGTTTGACACAACGCTTTCCTCACGAATTTCTTGAGCTAAAAACACCTTCAGCTACTCTGCAGAATTCCTTCTGTGTTCATACTTGGTTCTCGTTCGCTGGAACTCTTGTTTGTGTGCTCAAACATTAGTTCGTAGTCATCGTATCCTGGGAAACGATTGTTGCAACGCTCCTAGCACTGTGGGAGGCAACAAATACGTTTTAAGGAAATCGTGCGTAGCACGAGCTTTGACTAATTCTGCTTCATCTCCTTTCTTGTTTTTCTCTAGTCATTTTATCTAATTAATTTATTTTAATTAATTATCTTTCTTTTTTCCGAAACACACCCAACATGTGCTACTATATACGTAGTATATCTAATAGATTTAGGTAATATTGTTACCACTACTACCATAAGAAACTCATTGGGATGAGTTTCATAACATGTTTTAATTATGAAGGGTGAATGAAAGTTCTCCCCTTTAGTTCTTTACACGAATGATGAATATAAAACACAATATTAAAATAGAGAAATATATTGACAGTTCTCATAATTTCAAATCCGCCCATTTCATTGTTTTCTTTTGGAATTATATAGAATTCCTGTTATGCATCTATTTAAAATTATCTCAAAAAGTTAAAATAATGTTAGACAAATGTTTAGAAAATAATAAAATTATCTCAAAATTATATTCAAATTATCACACTCATTCAGTTGGGAATAAGGTTGAAATACTTTCCCCATCTAATCAGCTCCTCACCCTACATATACCTTTATAAAAAAATATATGTAGTATATACAAGAGTACTGGGCATCCTATGTCCGATGATCTTCACTGCGTATATTTCTACACTTCAATTTGGAAAACAACCAAATAGCGTTTTCGAGTACATACTTCCACAAGTGCTATGAATTTTTCAATGAAAATAGTCGCATTGTTTTATTAACATCTTAAAAGTAGGGTGGTTGTTTCTCCCTCTAGTTAGCTAAAGTGAAGACTTGATAAAGAACATGATGAATAAGAGGCAAGGTGAGAAAGAAGCTACAGTGCTGACTTGTCCCCCTCCTGAACCGCGACAATGGAGTGATGTAGAGCTTTCGGTTTGGAGGAAGATGAATGAACTCTATTTTAATATCGTTTTATCTTGTTTGTGTTTTTATTTCGACCTGCATGTTGTATTGGTTGTGTTTTTATTTCTTATCAGACTAAAATTTAAGACGTGTGATAGAGAATTCTGATTTGCCTGTCATTGGCTCAGTTAGTCAGTTAAACTCATTACAAGATCAACGAATCTTATTGCTTTTACAAAGGTTATAGATTCTAAGTCAAGTTCAAGGACAGACGATAGACAGATTTCTTATCGTTTTGTGTCTTACTTAAATTCTGTTATTTTAATACAAGCCACCTACTTCCAAGTTCCAAAAATACTACTCCCTCCATCCCGTTGGAATGTTCCCGATTTGACCTACACACATATTAAGAAAATAAACTTACCAGGAGGTAAATTTTACTGTTTTGACACTGTTTCGATACTGTTTGGCACCGTTTCAACATTGTTTGACACCGTTTTGCACTGTTTGACACTGTTTTGATGTAGGATAACTTTCCATTTAGGGAAATGAGAACTTTCCAACGGGAAATCCAAAAAAGGAAAGCAGGAACATTCCAACGGGACGGAGGGAGTACTTCCAAAAATAGATACTTTTACAATTCTATTTACATATAAGGACTTCAACGTTAAAAATTTACAATTAGAGAAAAATATTTTTAAAGCTATTCTTTCCCGACAATAAATTACCTAAACAATATGCAAAAATTGTCATTTCTACTGATACTTTCAATGTCAACTTTTCAAAATCACTTTTGATTTTTAAACACTGCCCATTTTTTTATAATTAGCATTGTCGTTATATTATCTCAAATGGATGGTTATTCAAAAGCACAACTGCACAAGCACACACAAACAATACCGTAAGACAACGTTTTATTTAATGTTGTCTTACATCGAAGTACGAGATACTGGTAATAGAAAACTAGAAAATTAGTTGCTTCACAAGTCTCCGTGGTACTTGGTCCACATGACCACATTTCAACTAAAACATACATAGTGGTTAAGGGAGTTCTGTGATCGCGCGCCTAAAGGTTCCACAGAAGTTCGACCATTTTATACTGCAATAATGATTTATATTTACAGAAAATGGAGACACAAAGCTAGATTCATTCAGTCATGTTTATATACTAGATAAACGGACCAAGGAGACTTGACTGCAGCTTAAGAGTGGCTTACAGCAGCAGAAACGGTAGAAACCATGGAATCCACACCGCAGATGTTATTACCCCTGCAGATCTTGTAATAACCTTCCTCCCCCCAATTTTCACCCCAAGAGTTCTTGATAATCCAGTACGGCTTTTCCTTAAGCCTGATTGGGGCATACCCAGCAGCTCCATACCCCACCAGCACCACCCCATGATCCAAATTTCTCTTTGAACATATGTAAGGGCATGATACTCCTCCAATGTATGTCTGCATGAAAGCTGCATTGATTCCCACTGCAATAAACAGGTAAACACTGCAGAGGTTAGCTTCATATTGTTATTATGTCCTTAACTTTCCATACTTGACAGCCTGACAGGTACAAGGGGGCTTGTGGTTCAGTCATCTCACCTTTGTTCAGGTTTTCAGAGGGTAATATGAGATTATCTCCACCTAGAAAAAATTGGTAGTGTTTGGGTAATCTGACTATCTTGGGTTACTTAGGTGTTGAAAGATTATCAGGGTTATATTTTACTGTTCCATGACATCCTGCGAGCACAAGGTAATCTAAATTCTCTTAATTTCACATTCCAATCTTCAAGAAGGTAGTCTCATCACATAACACATTTCATGAATCAAACAGCATTTAAGGGATGCTATGCACTTATGCAGGTAATGATACCAAGATAGGAGTGTTAGTCAAGGGCTACTGGGCTAGGAGTGCTAACACACAGGCACACAGCTAGTCTTGGACGTTCAGCTGCGGATGTACATTGCTATATTTGGCATTATATGTAGGTTTATAGTTTGGCAAAAGTGGAAAATGAGGCATTAACATGCTCTCAATGGTGTCTCATTCGAGACAAGTAATCTTAAAATCCATGTGATCATTAACGAGATGAAACTTACCCGGATTGAATTATGCATAAAGGCATGCTTAAATTGCTAACTGGTCAAACCTATATAGTTGGAGTACACAAAGACCTTTACATTTTTGTATTTCGACAGTATTGGATGGCTAAACCTCTAGTTTGCATTAAGGTATGAGACTGTAATCATACAAGGGGCATAAAGCAAAGTATTAGATGGCTAAAAACCTAATTTGCCAGCGTCTAATGCTTTGACTAGTTTGAATTTTAGGAGTTCAGGGTATAAAGGGGATACTTAGAGTAGTGCTACAAGATTGTGGGTGGGTTAATACCTGAAAGAGGGCCATGTTTAACAAGATTGGCAGCAATTTGATCTTCATCAAGGGAGACTACACTGAAATTCGCAACAGATGCAACAATTTTCTTTTTGTCAAATTTGCAAGTGCCATCTCTCCCTGTGTAAGGATAGTCCTTTTCCTGCACAAGGCCGCCCGACTTGAGCACATATTCATAGGCAGTGGTCATCAGTCCACCATTACACCCAGAATCACATGAATCTGCATCCTCCGGATCACACTACAAGATGATCATGATCAAAAATTGAATTAAACCTTCAAAGAGTTAAGGAGAGTACATGAAATGAATTTCTTGATTTCTGCCAGACGAGAAAAATAAAAATTTGAAGTAAACGGATATGATTAAACACTGACCAAATGGTCGCAATCCACAAGCTGCTGCTCACTGAGGCTCACTAGCTCACCGGTTGCCAGAAAATTCGCTCCTTCTAACGCTCCAGTGGTGCTAAACGACCAGCAAGAACCACATGAACCCTGTCAATTTCCACAAAGTCAAAAACCAAACATGCTGCCTACTTTCATAGGTGTATATAAATATATAATACGAAGCATCCAGAAAAGTTAGATTATTATCTGTAAATATACCTGATTCTTCACGCCTGTCACGGCACCGTAAGTACGCCAGTCAAAATCGGCGGGGAGATTTCCGGTTGGAAGGATTTCGGCCTTCTGTGCATCCGAGGGGAGCTTAAGCTTGTTGGACCGTCGTTTGCTGATCCCGAGGTACGTCCTGCGGAACTCCTTGGGAGTGAGATCCGAGAATTTTGTGACGCCGTGGACGGCGGATGGATCTATCAGCTGGTGGCGCTGAGCGCGGCGCAAGTTAGCACTGAAGACGGAGAATCTGTAGTCGTGCTCCTCCTGGGTAGCGTAGCTTTTGGCGAACTTGGTCTTGAAGAGCGAAAAGTGATGATCGGCGTTGAGCAGTTCCTCGGCGCCGGTAACAACCTGACGGATCAACGGATCTTCATCCTCGAGGGCATAGGCGGTGGCCGTCAAGGCGAGTATCAGGACGGAGAGGAGAGAAAACCGATCCATTGGAAGAAGATGTGAGATTCTTTCTGGTGTATGGGATTGATGAGTGGTTAAATGGAATTGTGCAGTGAATTAATAGTAAGGAACAGTTAGGTGGGTGATGAAGAATTGATAATCTGACACGTTTCGCTTTACTATTGGATCGCTTGAAAGGTACAATGAAGAGGGTTGCTTGCTCAGGGTTGCCATGAAGATTGGGGTTTGAAATGTCAAAAGATGGAATCTCTGGTGGGCACTCTTCTTCCACTGATCATTGTCATCAAGTGGGACTATTATCAGGATAATCACTGTTTTTTTATCATATCAGGATAATCACTATTATTAACCATATACGTCCAAGAAAAGCCCAATTTAAATTTCTTACTTTTCTCATTTCTATTTTAAGAGAACGATTAATATTCTTAAACAAAAAGTTATTCATTAAATTATTATATATACATCAAAACTAATTCTCAAAATAACTTTGAATAATCATATTTAATAATAATCCAAATAGCCGTGTCATTTTTCAATGAGGACTTTGTCGAACGTTACAGAATAACATTACGTACCTTTCAACGTTCAGCCAATTACAACTTGGGTCGATCGGGAGTTTTGACGCATTGTCAACCCTATTCCTGGCACACTTCGCTTCGAGTGCTACCCTGAAGCGGCATTTCAACTATCTCATCAGTGTTCGTCAGGGGCCAAAGGAATCCATCACCCAGTTCTTGACTAGATGTAGGGATGAGACGTTGAAGGTGGAGTAGTTAACGGATTGCACGGCGGTCACGCTATTTAAAGATGCTCTTCACACTGGGGAGTTATACCGGGATTTGAAGAAAAGTCCGGGGACCAGTTATGCGGAGGTCCTAGAACGGGCACAGAGGCATGCTATTCTGGAAGAGGAAATCGTGATCAGAGATCGGAGGGCACAACAAACACCCGCAAAGTTGGCCGATCGACTGGGCCCTAGCCTAGCGACCACAAATGTTTCTAAACCAAACCGATTTACACCGTTTGTCCTTTCCATCGCCATCATCTTCCAGAATGAAAAGGATATGATCCCCCCCTCCAACGGACACGGAAGCCTACATCGGACGGGATGACGCATATTGCCACTATCACAAGAGGAGAGGGCATTCTACCAAGGCCTGTCGGGCGCTCCAGATTGCCATAGAGGAGTTGATCCAGCAAGGTCACCTGGGTAAGTATGTGAACAAAGATCCGAATGCAGTAAGCCCCATCCAGGACCAAAACAAAAGGTCAAACAGCTAGAAGTGGGACGATCAGCGTGACGCCCGGCCACAGAATCACGCGTACATACCATCCAGGGAGGAGGTCGAAGGTGCAGGAAACCCAAGGAAAATGTGACACCGCACCCGGATGTATTTGATTTGAAAATTCAACATGTATTTGAATTTCCTAGCGAATAAATATCATGCACAGAATAATTTATTTAATTAATGTGTGATTAACTAAATTATATATCCGGCCCATAATATTGAGAATGGGCTACTAAATATTTAGTTGGGTCATCATAATAGTTATAGAAGCCCAATAAAATGCCAACTGAGGTTGAGGAAAATGTTTGGGCAACCCACGTGTTATTTTGACCCAACCTGCCAGAAATAACATGAATAATTGGGACGGACTTCCTACACCCACTTGGGGTGTTCTACCAGTCAAAAACTCACAAACTAATGGGATGGGACAAGAAAATAAGGGGAGGGGCGTGCTAGGCTGGGGAGGGTGTCTCATTGAGACAAAACCCCATACGGCCCCATGTTTTGTCTTGGACCATCCTTGCCTATTGATTGAGAAGGAATCTTCTCTCCTTCTTCATTTGCACCATACAAAGGGATAGAGGGATAAGAGAGTCAAGGAAGACCTCTCAAAAAAATCAGGAGCTCTAGAGGAGGAAGAAGAAGTAGCAAACCCAAGAGAAACTAGCAAGAAAGAAAGGTCATAACTCTACAACTATTCTTTAGCTAGTTTTTGTGTATGATTTTTAGGAAATCGTGTGGTGGTTTAAACCACGAGTTCTACACGTTTAAAAGTGTAGAATATTGATATAAATTGGTGGTATTTAACTTAGAAGAGTTGGTGAATCGATAGGAGTCGAAATCGCCGGAAGCCGCCCGACTTTGGCTGCTGTCCAATTTTTTCGTTTCAATCAGCCTAGAACAGGGGATTGATCGAAGGGCTTCACAAAGGCATCTAGTTAAGCACTCCATAAGGTGAGTATGACTGACTATATTGCTTATAATTAGTGAGTTAATTTCATGAGATTACATAAGGTAATTAAATGTGTTTTTATGGATTATTAATGATTAATAATGCCTAAGAATGATAAGACTATGTCTATAATGAAAAGAGCATGATATACAAATTTAAGGATAAATTGTGTATAATCATGTATTATGAGTATGATTACTTGATTTTGGAATTTAAATATGAAATGTATGTTGAGATATACTTTTTACTTCATATAAGAATATATGAATGATTAAAGGTGATATTTGGTATATGGATATAATGATGATATTTTTAATGGAAAATCAGTTGGACATTTTATAAATGACCATGAATGAAGAACTTGGTTTTGTTGGAATTAATTGGACTAGTATAAATATACTAGTTAGGCATTAAAGTGGAATGTTGCTAAAATTGATCCAAAGGTTGGATTGTGAAACGTTATGTCTTAAGTAGTCTTAAGAGATGCTTTAAGGTAGGGAGGTATGAACCTTAAGTTATACTAGGGGTAGACCTTAAGGGATACCCAAGATAAAGTAGATAATAAATTGATCCTAGATATAGGATTGGCCTTCGGGGGTGCACGATAGTCTTTGAGGATAGCCGGTTGAATTATGGGAATAAGTAAGGATCATGGCCCTTCCCGACTCTAGAGAGCGGGGTTGGATATCATGGACTTGCATCGTGATCACGAGTTAGGGTGGAATCCGAACGGAGACCTAACTAGGCTCCGACAGCGGTAACACCTAAGATAGGACCCCGAATGGCCTTACCTTCCCATGGGATGAAGCGTATGAGTCCAGAGGCGGGATGTTGAAGTCCGAACCGAGAGCCTTATGAGGTCTCGGACAACGGTAGCAAATCCCGTAGAAATAATAAGACCCACGAGTTGGGTTGTACAAATGATAAATGAAAAGGAATACATAAGAAGGGTTGTGTGCCGACAAATAAATGAATTTACTTATTATAGAGATAATAAGCGGGAAATGTAAATTGTTATTTATATTATGATATCACCCTAATTTGAGGGTCTTAGAAATTAAAACGTTGATTATACTCGGTATAGTTGTCATTGTACTTGTCAAATGTTTCCAAGTACTGACCTCCCCTTCATAGGGGAGGCCACCTCACAGTTTCAGGTAGGAGTTGAGCTTGCTACCTGTGTGCGTTGCTTCGGGAGAACCAAGGAAGGAAAGCGTGATTCGTGCTTTCCCCGTTTCTGTTTTAAAAACATTTAAATAAATGCTCATGGATATTATTTTTTCTGAATAATTATTTGGGGGCTTGCATGCCTAATTATGCCAAGTGTGGCTTGAACACTTGTAATAATGTTTCCGCTGCTTTAAACGAATGTTTTACATTATGCTTGTTTATGGATGTACTATGTGTGAATGGTATTCAAAGACGCCTTGTATAGTATGAATAAGTTGGACTGCGGTTGACTTTTCGTACTGTACGACGAGTTATTGACGTGTCCGGATAGGTCTGGGGCGTGACAGAAAAAGCCCAGGATGGAGATCAAGGTCATCTTCAACGGGGAGAAACTGGGGACACGGATGCCGGACGTAAGAATTCCGAACGGAGCCTACTTGTGGCTTCCATCTCCGAACCGCCTCAGAAGAAGGTAATGATCGAACCATTCACGTTCGGTCCTGCGGATCAATCAGCATCACCCAGTCTGCACAGGGACGAGTTGGTGGTGAGCATGTGTATTGATAACGCCCTCATCCGCCGAGTGCTGGTGGATACGGGTAGCAGTGTAAACGTCCTCTACTTACTGAAGTTCCAAAGGATGAAACTGGAGAGGGACAGATTGACGCCCCTGAAAACACCGTTGGCGAGCTTCACAGGAAACTGCATCGACACAGAGGGGACTATCTCCCTCCTGGTCGAAATTGGAGACGAAGTACACCGGACGGCGGTCCGTATGGCGTTCGTAGTGGTGGACATTCAATGCGCCCACAATGCCATATTGGGGCGACCCGGATTAGAAGACTTGGAAGCAATTACTTCGGTTCAGCACTCTTGCATAAAGTTCCCAACTGACACTGGAGTTGGAGTAGCTCGAACAGATTCGGTCACTGCCCGAAGCTGTTACCGGGAGGCCATGAAGAGAATAAATGACCGCACCTGCGGGTAAATAGCATTGTCGAAGAGACCCGCCAGACTGAATTTATTGCACACCCTGAGCCAGCCACCCTACTGGAATATGTTGAGCTAGATTCACCTTCCGATTGGCAGGTTGCAATAGGAGTGGACCTGGAGCCGGAAATTAGGGAAGGGGTGATCGCAGTGCTCATGGAGTTCCGAGTCCTATTCGCCAGGGGACCAGAGAATATGTCGGGCATAGACCCGGAGATTATTTGTCATCAGTTAGCCGTTCGGCCAGACGTCAAACCGATGCAGCGGATGAAGCGCTACTAGGCGGCCGAACGGTGAGAATTTACCAAACAGGAGGTGGTCGTATTACTCCAGATCAAGTACATGAGGTGGGTAATCCACGTGGAGTGGTTATCGAATGTGGTCATAGCCCCGAAGGGGCCAACTTTGAGGATGTGAATTGACTATTCCGATCTGAACAAGGCATGCCCAATGGATCCTTATCATGTGCCTCGGATCGATCTGCTGGTGGATGAAAATGCCGGGTGCGAGCTGTTGAGCTTCATGGATGCCTTTCGGGGATTATCACCAGATCTTTATGCACCCGACTGATGCAGAGAAAACAACATTCGTCACCTCGGACGGGTGTTTTGCTACATTGCGATGTTGTTCGGATTGAAGAATGTTATGGCCACATTCCAAAGGATGATCGGGATGTTATTCAAAGAAATGTTGGGAATCACCATGGAGGCTTATGTGGATGACATCCTAATCACGAGCATGAAGAAAGAGGATCATGTTCGGGATATGGAAAAAGTCTTTGGAATCATGAAAAAACGAACATGAGGATGAATCTCAAGAAGTGTGCCTTTGCCGTCAAAGGGGGCAAATTCTTGGGATATATGATGAGCGAACGGGGTA